AGTGCTGTCTTTAATGACAGTAGTTTGAGAGAGATTTGTGACAGAGGCTCGAAGGGAGGTTCTCCCAGAGCGCGTAACACCAGAGGTAAATCCCACTGCAGTGCCAAAGACCGCGTGGCAGGTCTCTGTCCCTGACTCCTTTCAAAAGTCAACCAGTGGGTGCGCAAAAACGGATCTCTGTCCATAGCCTTCATGACATAATATATATTTTATTTATTTATTTTTTACATAAGTTGTAGCATATTCTAGCTACAGAACTTGTTTGACTCAGCAATGTTTTGTAAGTTTGAGCCATGTGTTTATTAAGGTCTGAAATAAAACAAGATGAGAACTTAAATATTCCCTGCACTTTCTGTGATGTAGTATGCTTGCTTATCATAGGAAGTAATTAGAAATGACTCTTTACATTAAGGTAGTAGCCTAGTGAGAACAGGGTGTTGGGGGAATCACTTTTTTCCTCTTTTTCATCAAACCGCAGTTTTTGCAAGTTCCCGCAATTTTTACAAGTTCCCGCAATTTTTACAAGTTCCCGCAATTTTTGCAAGTTCCCCGCAATTTCATCGCATGAAATTGCATAAATATCCCGCATATTCCATCGCATTTTTTAAGAAAACGTGCCACATAATCAAGGATTTTTGCCCGCAACAATCACAAAAAAACTCCGCATTTTTCTGGAAGGACTGGCAAGCCGGAGTCAAACCTGCGACCGCTGCAGCGAGGCATCGCCTCTGTACATGGGGCGCCGGCACTATCCACTACGCTACCGACGCCCCATCTTCCACAGGTTTAATGGTTCCTCATTCACAAGAATAGATGCTGTGGGGGTGGTGTCAGTTTTAGCCTGCATGTTGGTGTGGCTGGTTGAAAGGAGATGTCCAGTGGATGCCTCTGGGTTTGCCTGCAGTGTAGGGATGTAACGATTATCGATATTACAGTAAATCTCTGTTAATTTTTACACGGTAAGAATTACCATTTATGTTTAAATTAATTGCATTATCGCGGTGGATTATCAGGATATGTAATAACAGCCTCATTCAAGTCTCGCGATGCAGGCGCTGCGTGAATGTGTAGCATGTGTAAACACAAAGAATGAAAACATGTCGGAAGGTGGTGATAGCGGCACTCAGTACATTTTCCCCCCAACTAAACGCACAAAATCTGAGGTCTGGGGGTACTTTGGGTTTCTGAAGAATGCTGAGGGACAGCTGGTGGAGGACAACTATCCTGTGTGCAGAACATGCAGAAAGAAAGTTGCTGCGAAGGGTAGCAATACTACAAATCTGCTGGCTCCTCTCCATGACCATCATCCACAGCTTTACAGCCAATGCAAGTTATGCTATGCAAACGTCAGTTATTGTGTGAGGGACTTCGGTTTTACTAAGATTGTCATAATGTGTAACTCTGGACGTATACGGGACATTTGAGCCGTATCTGTCCTCCTAAACGGCGACTAGGTTTTCCGTTTTCGTTTAAGACACTTAGGAGCTAATACTAGCTGAGTAGCTAATAGCCATATTAGCAGCTATGTTGCTAAGTGTTTCAAAACGAAACGGAGCTGAAAACACTGAGCGGAGCCGACAGAATATAAACTGACGTAACATAATGCTAATTGAGATCAACTATGATTGAATCACTGTGATTATGGTTATTGTATGGCGAGGTAGAATCGATATAGACGGCCAGTTATGCCTTCTCGACATAAGCTCAAGGAAATAACATAAAACGCTGCCGTGTTAACCTTTAACTAAGAGCTTTAATGGGGGCTCTCGGTTTTATAAGGTTAATTAAATTCACTGCTCACAGTCTTGACCTAACACACACACACACACACACGAGAACATGCAATCCTTTTCTCATACAGGCACTCCTTTCACTCACCTGCACACTTCTAATGTATTAATTATTCTGTGTAGTGATGACCATTGCCCTTAGGGTTTTTTTGGTTTCTCCTGCACATTTGTGATATCTATTCTATATATTGTATATCTTTTGTTCTACTCTTGCATTGTTTTGTTTTATATATATTTTTCCTCTTGTGCTAATAAATAAATAATTAATATATAAATTGTTTACATATTTTGCTGACTGTTAAAATGCACCAGAGAAATAAGCTTTGCTCCTGTAATGTGTTTACATATTTTGTTAATTTAAAATAAAATTTTCTGTTGCTGTGCCAATCCCTCGCCCCTTTAATGTGAAAGTTTCATTTTAATATAAGATTTTGGCTGTTAACATTTTAGTATGATAAGGAAGTTACAAGATTTAGTGAAGTTATTTCAATGTATCTATTTTTTGGACATTTTACAGCGCTTAAAAAATATCGCAATATTATCATTTACCGTGATAATTTGGTCACTATAATCGAGATATCAAATTTTCCATATCGTTACATCCCTACTATTCACACTTTTGCATGGTTCACAGTCAGATCATGGCTGTGCCTCACCTACCTTTATACAGTGGTGTGAGGAGAACTATCTCGACCTGAATGCCTCAAAGACTAAAGAAATGATCGTTGACTTCAGGAGGAACAGGCCAGAACCAAGGGGAAGCACTATACAGGGCCAGGAAGTCCAGATAGTGGAGTCATACAAGTATTTAAGTACAGTCTTTGACTCCCAACTCAATATCTCCTGTAACACTGAGTCTCCTGTCAAGAGGGGGCAGCAGAGGATCCACTTGTTGTGGAGGTTGAACTTGTTTCTAGGAATATTTTGTGTGTCTTTTATCATTCTTTTATTGAAAGTCTTTTAACATTCTCTTTTATATGTTGGTTTAATGGGTTGCCTCTGAGAGATAAAAAATAGTTTGCACAGAATCGTGAAGATCTGCTCCAAGATTATGGGATTCCAGTTGAGTGACTTGGCCTCGTTGTGGAAGAAGCAGGTGGTCAGGAAAGCAAAAAGCATTATTGGACATCCTGACCACATCCTTTCTCAGAATTTTGTGTTAATGCCCTCAGGGTGGCGCTATTATGCCCCTCTGAGGAAAACAAACAGATACTCAAACTCCTTTTTTCCTTCAGCTATTACATTGCTGAACAGCAAACAACTATGAATGTAGAGCCAATGCCACTGACAGCCTGAATGTAATCTGAATGTAATTTTCTTTTATTGTAATCTTGTTGTTGGGAATGTGTTATGTGTGTTTGTTGTGATACATGTTGTTGTGAACTGTAAACAGAATTGCCCCACTGTGGGATAAATAAAGTTTTCTGACTCTGACTGACTCTGAAAAGAGTGTCATTCCTGTGCACTAAATATCCCATCGAGAGAGACTCTCACTGCAGCCTGTTCTATTTTGTTCTAAAAATGTTAGCGTGCAGCCCCATTCTGTGGACGATAAAGGAGGTGTAGGCCTTCCTCTGTGTCACCGATGATGAGTGCTGAACAGAGCAGTGAAGGACAACAACCCCACTCACATTTAAGAGTACTTGTTGTTGGGGAAACGCTAAATAGACCTAGGGCCTATGTTCCATGTCTGAAGGGTTACTTCTGGTTCCAAAGGTACCTCACCTAAAGTGTTTGGTGGAAACAAGGCTTTAGCTTAAACCTTACTATTTAAAACTGAACTGAAGTGAAACCTATCTTTGCTCTCTTCAAAGTTTGAATACTAAGGTTTTTAGTGAACATGCATGTGTCATTTGTGGATGAAGTGTTCCTTTATTCATTTGCTCCCTGAAATTGCAGAAACAGAACAAAAATGCCCATCACAATTTCACAAAATCAAAGTGGACACCTCCATTTGACTGTTTTTTCTGACCAATGGTCTAAAACCTCTAAATAGTCAGGTCAATTATAGAAATAAACCTTCAAATATTAACATTTCAAAGATGATACCTGTCAGTTATTGGCATTTTGCTTAAGAAAATGACTATAGCAATTAATTATCAGAGTTGTTGCAGATCAGATTTATGTGGATGGATTATTTTACTCATTGTTTCAACTCCAATTTGAACAGTTTATGCAATTACTTCATGGCCAAGCTACAAGTTGAATCACTGCTATGTTGTATCCTATTTATCCATATAAAAATATTTGACATACATTCCTAAACAGAAAAATACATTCTAACGGATAAGCCTGAATTATTCAGCCTTTTCCTTATTGTCTTTTATTATTATATTATTTATTATTTGCCTTTTCAAAATCCCATGAAAAGACCAACACTATGTAACTTCATCATCTGTTTGTGTTTTCATGGTATTTGTTGCCAAAATATATTGAATATTGTCAGTTTTATGCAGAAACACAAGATATCTCCTTAGGCTGTACATAATTTGACAATCCTACAAGAGCTGCTGGATATGCCAGTCTAGAAAATGTAACATAATTGCCCTGTAGGTCTGCTTAAATCCTAATACAATATAAATATGCCCAGCATCAATGTCTGTCAAATGTTGAGGGTTGGAGTGAGTTTTCAGCCTATAATGTACTGCAGGTTTGTCTGCCAAAAAGTTGGAAATCCCTGTAGTGCGCCTTTACGTCATGGCGTATTGCAGGACAAAGGTCTAACCCTCCACATCCTGCACATATACAGAGCCTCACAGTCATGACTTTGTTTAGCTTGAACTTTTGAGTGCTGAGACGTTCTGAGAACACATTGAGTCACTGTTCCCCTCCTGCCTGTCTTCCTGTGCTGTGAGAATACTACTTGACGGTATTCTTGTCATGCGGGACAAGGGGAGTGTTTCTGTGGCCAACTCCAGTGAGAAACAGCTGCAACTGCCCCCCCAAACCCACACTCGCAGGGAAGCTGTGGTGCTGCTGGTAGTGGTTTGGTTAAGTGGAAGCTGCAGGATCAGGCCACTAACTGTGGTTTTCCTTTGAAGCGCTCTTCTTTCATAACAACCTTCACCAGTCCTCTCTTACTGAGTTTAACACCATACACGCAGCCACAAAATGACTGAGCAAGGCAGACCATTGTCTAGAGAGACCAGTTGGATATAAATGGATCTAGCAGACCAGGGCAGAGGATACTGTAGTTGTGGTGGTTTGTACCTGGTCCATGTCTATCTCCACCTGGCTCTCCTTCAGCTCCAGCTGCTTATGCAACTTGGTCACCCTCTCCAGGAGCTCCACCACAGCGCTGCAGCTCTCCTCACTCCTCCAGCTCCCATACTTAGACATCAGCTTCTTGAATGCCTTGTCATCACACCTGATCAACAACATGTACCAGAAGAAAGAAAGTCTATCAGGCTCAGAGCTACAGTAGTTGTCAAATAGGATCAGAGTTTGACAAATGTTGGGGGAATGATGCGTCTCACTACTCTGTCTCAGGGCAAACCATGTCTGAACAACACAGCATTTTAATCTTTATTCAAATTCTCTAACACATGGCAATATTTTAGCACACTAATACAAACTAGCATGGTTAGTAATTTGTTGCTTTGTTTGAAGGTTATCACTCTTACATGTTTCAAATATTTTCCAAGAATGCTTTGAGGCAGGCATCAACACCAATTCCTGGTTTTGGTTGTTAATCTTTCAGACTCTCACATTAAAAAAATATATTGCAGTGTTTTTTATTTGACGAAAAGTATGAGGAAAATATTTTTGTCAATGACCTTATTTCCATGACAAAAATGAGACGATGACGAGCTGACAAGGGAATTCCAGTTTAGCATGTGAGGGAACACAAGCTCAACAGGTGGCTCCCATGCTTTCTCAATACTTATCATCAGTTATTTGCACAAGAGCCGTGTTTTACTTAATACCTGGTGTTGTTTAACATCCAAAGACTGTTGAACTTTAACTTTTTGAAACAAATGGCTTACGAACTACGGAAGAAACCAACAACTGCTACTGCCGACCACGCGGCTGTGGAAAAGGGCGCCACCATGTCGGAGGAAAGCACTGACCCCAGCTCTAAACTGCCCGCAGATCTGGAGAGACTCTGCTCTGCCCTTATCACGGAGCTAAGCGCAACACTTTCCACATTGATATACGAAGCTCAAAGCACGGCATTCAGCTCAATCTTGTCCTCTCTGGAAAACATCAGGAAAACAACTGATTCTCACGGGCAGCGCATTCAGGACATGGAACATGGCTGGCTGGCTACAGTGACAGAATCAATCAATCAATCAATTTTATTTATAAAGCCCAATATCACAAATCGCAATTTGCCTCAGAGGGCCTTACAGCGTACAACATCCCTCTGTCCTTTGGACCCTCACAGCGGATAAGAAAAAACTCCCCAAAGAACCCCTTTAACAGGGGAAAAAATGGTATCCATCAATACAATAATCCATATGACAAAATGATACATAAAGAGAGACAGAGGTAGAGAGAGAGAGAGAGAGAGAGAGAGAGAGGTATGCAGGACAGACAGTAATGATAATAGCTTACAGCAACATTAATTTAAGTAATAATATTATAATAATAATTACAGCTATTGTGGTACAATATGTTGTAAGTATATATTAATATATGATAGTATATGTATGTGACAATAATCATATGTGTATAATAACAGTAGAGGTATGACTAATAATAACAGCAGCAGCAGGAGGCATCAGGCAGGACCATGGCAGCAGCACAACCACGATCCAGGCACAGCTGCGATACAAGTTAACCTGCCAGACAGTGGAACACAAAGGCTCCAGAGAGGAAGCTGAGTTAGTGACATGCAGTAAAGCCGAGTTAGCAATATGCAGTAATAGGACATGAATGTTAGAATTGGAAGAGTGCACCAAAAGCCTAACGGCAGACAACACTCGCCTCCTTGCGAAATTAGAGGTCTCGCTCTTGACTATCTAATTTGAGGGTCATCGGAATACCTGAGAAAAAGGTAGGCTAACTACCCTGTTGCATTAATGTCGACTTTTTTTGCAGAGGTCCTGGGCAACGACCTCTTTCCTACACCACCCGTCCTTGACCGAGCCCACTTAATCGGACCAATTAATATTGAATAAGTCTCTGTACTATTATAATCAGCCTAATTTGTTGTGCCTGGACTCCGAAAAAAGTTGCTGTTGTCACTGTGTTCAGATGGTTTAAATGGTCTGAACACACCGTTTTCAGACGGTGTGTGAAACAACCATCTGAAAACAACCAAAGTTGTTTCACACACCATCTGAAGTTTTTTTTGCAGTTTTTTGCTTTGTTTTGTTTCCTTTTTAAATTGGGTCTACAGCCTGCTGCTACATATGTTTTTACCACTGCTATATTGCAGAGTTCTTTCCTCATGCCCAGTCACTCAACCTTATTTACATTATCTGTTAAGCTTTATGTGCGGCCGCTATTTCTTTTTGTTTGTCCTGACTGGTGCAGTGGCAACGGTGCCGTGTTTAGCTAATATGTTTGGTTGCTGAATAATGGCCAGTGACCGCTTTAGCTGCATTTGTCTTCCTCCAGTCAAGTTTCTTCACTGAATTGAAATAGATTTAAGCAATACACTGTACTGGTGATGATATAATGTGTTTGTTGGTGGGGAGCTATCCTAGAGAGAGAGAGATAAATTAGTTAAGATTAATTCAGATGCATTGGAAGTTAAGCAAAAGAAATAACCTGCTGTCTTCTTTGTTTGGGGAAGGAGACAGTGGTGTGCACAGGGGGGAGCGACCTTGTGGCCCAATTGTTGAAAAACGCTTGCTAAAGTGCCCTCCTGGGAGCCAAAACACATGCTAAAGTGCCCTCCTGGGAACCAAAACACGTGCTAAAGTGCCCTCTTTGGAGCCAAAACGCACGCTAAAGTGCCCTCCTGGGAGCCAAAACGCATGCTAAAGTACCCTCTTGGGAGCCAAAGCATGTGCTAAAGTGCCCTCCTGGTTGGCAAAACACACTAAACTGCCTTCTTGGGTGGAAAAACACACTAAACTGCCCTCTTGGCTGGTTAAAACATGATAAACTGCCCTCTTGGGTGGTAAAAACGCATGCTTAAGTGCCCTCCTGGTTGCCAAAACACAACTGCTATGTTGGGTGGAAAAACACACTAAACTCCAGAAGACTATTAGGACGAAGAAATACTATGAAACATTACTGTTGCAATGACTTTTATGTTGGGCCCTTTTTTGATCTATATTGAGCCAGAACTATATCTCACAGAACCAGTTTGGATTATCTGGTGCTAATATGGTGTTAAAATGCACTAGAATACAGGAAATGGCATCTGCTTAATTGAAAATGTTCTGGGGGAGGACCCCAGACCCCCCAGGGATTTATTTCCTTCATACATCCATGTCTCTGTGTGTTCTTCACACAGTGACATACGTAGACCCCGCATCGAGTGGGTTTGCCCGCTGCTGCGATACGTCAACGTCGCCACCATATTGGATGTGGCAAGGTGCCTTTCTACAAAGAAATTTACGTTAATGCCTCTCGTTTATTCATTCACATACGCACTAATATACTTGGGAAACAGTTAGGCACCAAAAACGTGAAAAAAAATGTATTTGATCTTCTCAGATGGCTAAGATAAGAACTTTATTGATCCCACACAGGAGTAAGTCACGTTACGTCAGCTACAGAGAACAAGGTAGTGCCGAAAAACAATACACAGTATATATAGGCTACATGACGTGTGGAAAGGATGACGCAGTTATTCGGCAAACCACCGTTTATTACTAAACAGTACAGGTTACTGTTGGCCGTAACCACGCTAAAACAACCAACAAACAAGAACTTCGCTGTAACTCCAACTGTGCACTCCTGCTCTCTCCTCCAGCTCGCTCCTACACACACCAGCATGCGCACTCACACAGCCCTCATCCCCGTCACACTCGCATCCCACCCCCCTGCCTATACTCATTCAATCCCAAACATGCCATTAACTCACAGAACATTGACATTGTAACAGAACATTTACTGCAGGGTCGCTACAATACATATATATACAGTGTTTCCACTACATTCATTTAGCAGCAGCGGCAAAACAATCTATTTTGCAAATGCACCACCACCGCTCTGAGACATCTGTGCACTTGCACAGCGCAGCAGCCAGTGTAGTGAGGAGAGCAGCGGTGAGGGGAGGGGGGAGTGGGGGAAGGCTCCTATTTAGGGATGCACCAAATATATTCGGCCGAATATTGCAAAAAACACACATTCGGTATTCGGTGGAATAAGTGAAAAGCAAGGCCGAATAATAGCAGCGTGTTTTGATAACGCAATCAAACAGTGTGTGGTGACGGACGGAGTAAAATGTCGGCAGTGTGGTGATATTTTACTCCGTCCGTCAACGCACTTGCATTTGCAACTAAAAATAGTTTTGTGCGGGCAAAATAAATCATTCAGCACGCTGTGTGAGTACAGATTTCAACCAGCAGCAGAAACGAAACGGCAAATCCCGCCGGTTGTGGGTTGAACGGGGGTCACAGACATGGACAGGAATACGTATTCCTGTCAAATACGGCGGCGCATTATAACGGCTTACCGGCGACGGAGAAGTCCGGCTCCAGGTGAATAACTTGTTGTCATGACTGCCCAAAAGTACCTGAACAGCCGAGCCATGGCGGCGCACAGTATGTGTCGTATCAGAGGAGAAACGAGCCGTTCACATTTCTCTCTTTGTGTCCACAAACCTCACCGCACTTTAGGGACTGTTCTTTACTTATAAAGGGACTTGTCAGGGGAGGAGGGTGGCTGGTTGATTTTTATTTCATTTATTTATTTTATTTTGTTCCCCTCTGTGTTAATCACTTATTGATGCTGTTTTTGAAGTATAAATAAGTCAATAAGTAATTTATTCCATTGAAATATCATTGATGTACTATAGAAAAGT